CCCCAAAACCCCAAAACCCCACAAGAAAATAATTTTAATTTTGTTTAGAGAATATTTTATTTATATTTTAGTCTAATAAATAAATTTTCATGATAAATTTTAAGCAGATAAGTTATCGTAAATATTCAACATTTCTCTAGAATGAGAAAAAAGTGAAACAGATATTAAACTTCTGGTTTACTGAAAATTATGATCGACATTCCACATTACCACCTGCACTTTTAAGAAAATGGTTTAACCCAACACAGGCTATTGATGATTAAATTAAACAACATTTCTTCCAGGATTTGCATAATCTCAAGAGTGGCCAATACAATGATTGGGAAAACCATAGAGATGGCAAACTAGCAAGCGTAATTCTAGCAGATCAGTTTTCAAGGAACATTTTCAGAAGACAAAAAGATGCTTTTGAGTATGATGAAATTTCTCTAAGAATTTGCAGATAAATTCTGAAGCAGGATAAAATATACAATTAATACAAGAATTTTGAGAAAGTGTTCATTTTATTGCCATTTGAGCACTCAGAAAACCTAGATGACCAGCAGACTTGCTATTATAATCTCAAGTTGTTGGCAGATAACATTGTAAAAGATGGCTACTATGATGCAGAAGTGGCAATGAATATGATGATTAAATACTCTTACTAACATTTGAAAGTTATTGAAGAATTTGGCCGATTTCCTCATAGAAATGAAGTACTTGGAAGGCAATCGACTCCCAATGAGTTAGAATATTTAAAAGATGGCTAGAGATATGGCCAGTGAATGCTTTAGAATTAGTTTATATAATTAAATAGCCTATTATTAGAAGTTAACTGTGTCTAATCCACGTATATTAAAAGGAGTATTTAAAGGCAATTGTTTAATTATTCTCCAAATTAATATCTTTATTGATTATTATGGAAGGACCACAACTTAACGACGATCAAAGATCAAGAATTCAAGCCATTCTAAACTATTGGTACATACCAGGCTCTGATAGAAATGGGGATATTGATCCATCTCTATTCAAGAAATGGTTCGGTGCTTCTGCAGAAACTGATGCTGAGATCACACAAAATTTCAAAGAGGATCTTTTGAAACTTGCAAATGGAGATCACGAAGCATGGAAGCATGATAAAGAAGGAAAGCTAGCAGCAGTGATTTTATGCGATTAATTCACTAGAAACATCTTCAGAAAAAACAAACAAGCTTTTGATTACGATCATATCGCTATGGAGATTGTCAAGAGTATCTCAGATGAAGAATTCTCGACATATGCTCTATAAGAATAAGGATTTTTGATTCTACCTTATGAGCATGATGAAAGACTTGAGAGTTAAGTAAAGAGTACAGAACTTGCTGACTTGATGATGAAGAATGCTTTAGCAATCCCAGATGTAGCTTAAGGTATTCTTAGATACGCTGAACAACTAAAAAAGTACACTGAATAGCATAAAGCTACAATTGATCAATTCGGTAGATACCCTCACAGAAACGAAGTTCTTGAAAGAGAAAGTACTCCAGAGGAGGTAGAGTATCTCAAGACCGCTGAAAGATATGGTTAATGATTTGCTATTGATATCAATCACAAAATATGATAGATATAATGAGAATAATAGTATTTTATTTCTATAACATACATTCTAATCGATTTCATCTTCATGGGGTTTTGGGGTTTTGGGGTTTTGGGG